GGTCAACACCTACGGCCTGCGTCCTATAGGTCCTACGGACTATTTCATAAAGGTCAACACCTACGGCCTGCGTCATATAGGTCCTACGGACTATTTCATAAAGGTCAACACCTACGGCCTGCGTCCTATAGGTCCTACGGACTATTTCATAAAGGTCAACACCTACGGCCTGCGTCCTATAGGTCCTACGGACTATTTCATAAAGGTCAACACCCACGGCCTGCGTCCTATAGGTCCTACGGACTATTTCATAAAGGTCAGCACCTACGGCCTGCGTCATATAAGTCCTACGGACTATTTCATAAAGGTCAACACCCACGGCCTGCGTCCTATAGGTCCTACGGACTTCTTCATATAGGTCAAAACCTACGGCCTGCGTGATATGGGTCAACGCCTAAGGTCTGCGTCGTATATTTCGACGTCTATAACCTACGCCAGCAACTAGTGGTTGAAATTATGACGTCAAATGACGTCAAGGTACGTTGATACGTAACACGCCATTGGCATTTAGACGCCACTTACACGAGCAACAGAGACTTGGGCCTATTCTGCTCTATAGGTCCCCGGTGTTTTTATATCGTCCCTAGTCTCTGACATTCCCCGAACCACAATATTTTCCTTTCCGACCAGTCATTTCTGCAATGCTTGAGCTCTAAATGAAGCAAGTCCAGATATCCTCAGGTTCTGAATCACCCAACACACTGGACCTCCTTTTCACTTTAAAAGGAATTACTTGATTCTACCAAAATAATATATATTAGAGACTAAGCGTTTGTCTATATCGCCCCCAGGGTGTCGTGTGACATGAACAACACTGATAGACGATTTGAGATCCAGTTGTGACGGACATACAAAACAAACGTAATCCCAGCAGTGTTCCAGTTGAAGACAAATGTCAGTATCAGCAGACCGATGTCAACGACTTGCATGTTACTGAGTGAATATTGTTTTACGACTGTTGTCATTGAGTGAGTATGGATTTACTCCGCTTTTAGCAACATTCTAGCAATATCATGGGTGGGGGACACAAGAAATGGGCTTCACACATTGTACCTTTGACGGAAATCGAACCCGGGCCAACGACGAGCCAACGCGTAACCCACTAGGCTACCCGAACGCCCCGATTGTTGTCAGACATGCGCAAACCTGTGGTTGACAGCATGAGCAACGACGAACGTACGGTGACAACTTACCCAGCCTGCTCACAATAGACAACCCCTTTTTTATCGTCAAACAGTCTGTATACTAGGCTGTAGTCTGTCTCACAGTCCCTGAACCACATTATTTTCCCTACTGCCAAGCTCTCTCTGCAGTGCTAAAGCCCAAAATAAAGCAAGTCTAGATTTCCTCAGGTTCTGAATCTCTGGTCTCCCCAGGGCTCCTTTTCAATTTAAATGAGCTTGTTTGTTACTATCAAAATTATATATATTCAGAGACTAAGCATTAGTCTAACTAGGCAGCTGAGTGCCCCAGGGGAATATTTTTAGGGGTTGACCCGTGTATAAATAGATTATGACGTTTCAAATTTAGCTTTATGAGCAAAACTGAACTGTGGAATGTGTCGCTTATGCGATCACCGTATCGGATATCAATATCCCAAACCTTTATCTTATTTCCTTCTCGACGAAGGATACCCGTGTCATGACCCACGACAACGCTGCTTTTATTCAGTCGTGAACAGAATAAGCTTCGACATTGTAACAACGGAACCAGCCGCCATTACCTCGGTGTAGTGCTCATTAACTCAATCCGGCTTGTTTCTCAGGAGCTTCAATGCGTGATAAAAGACGGACAGTTATCCTGTGTTGATGTTTTTTTGTGAAATGTAAACGGGCCACGTCTTCCGAGCTATTGTGTGACCCGCTTTACGTACGTGACAACGCACACGAGGGGAATTACAGCGGAAATATGTGTTTAAAACTTTCTAAATACAATAACAACTTGGTATACGCGGTAGGCGAACAGGTGTGGGGGAAATGGCGTTGTGCTGAAAAGGGGAAACTAGGTTAATCGCACTGTTTCTATAACAAATAATACCAAATGTATTTCATTATGGGGCTTGGTGTATACACCATGATAATGAATTATAAAGTCCATTACGGCCAGACAGAATACTAATTCTGAAATATTTTCAGACCTTGTTATAACGTGAGTTACAAGTTGGGGACATCACTTCAGCTACATCAGCTGATCAGTCAATCCGGGGGTTGACAGAATGAATGTCAATCCGGGCCGTGGTATGATGGTGTAACAAGCAAGCCACTTGTCACGTGATAGTTATATGTCAATGTTATCACATCCCAGAAATAAACAGGGAAGCGGTCGAGTGTTTGCAACAGTTTAGCATATTTTATTATCACTAGCCTGTATATCATCAGCCATTCTTACGAATAGAACAAGTATATATGGATGACAACTTCTTTATTCTTTTAGACTAATTAACAAGGCAAGGCGGAATAACAATGTGATGATAACAAATAAAGGAATAACAGAGGATTACAGGGATAAACATGGAGGCCAGTGGAAGCCAGTGATACACAGATAATGTGTCTTGTATATATACTCATGCCAATAATGGTTGTCACCCCCCTCCCTAGTCTGTCTCACAGTCCCTGAACCACATTATTTTCCCTACAGCCTAGCCCTCTCTGCAGTGCTAAAGCCCTAAATAAAGCAAGTCTAGATTTCCTCAGGTTCAGGTTCTGAATCTCTGGTCTCCCTAGGGCTCCTTTTCAATATAAATGGGCTTGTTTGTTACTATCAAAATTATATATATTCAGAGACTAGGCCTTAGTCTACCCTCCCCACCCCAACCCCCACACACACCTCACACCCCTCTCCAATTAAAAAAATTGAAGGCACAACCATTATTGGCATGAGTATATATATATCACCTGTTCTCTCCCTGTACCATTCTTACTTGAAAACGATACAAGAACCTGTATCGAAACGTCATGCTCTAGAATAAAAGAAGTTGTCATCCATATATACTTGTTCTATCTGACTTCAAACTTCTAAAATGCCACTCAAAGAAGTCATTCTTACGAATGTGGGTGAATGCTGTTTTATGCTGCAGGTGAGGAGAGGTAAGTGGAGTTAAAATATATTGCACCTTCTCAGCGACGTGCACCACATGTGTGTGGCGTTGCTTGTACTACTCCTGGCTTACTCTTTTAGTGCTCGCCCAATTAGATACCATACCTAGATCAGTTTTACAGGGACACCTTACTTAGACACAGGGTACTGACTCCTCACCTTGTGCTTGTTTGATCCCCTTATAGACGAACACCAGGCACGGTAACAACAAGTGTCACCTAGAACTGTGTTTTGACGCGGGCAGGAGTTAGAAGCACAGTCCTTTGGATCCACGAGCCTTCGGATCAGACTACACCACCCAGATGTTCGTTTACGTCACAGTCAGTCATGTTTCAGCGATGTTTCAAAATCATATTTGCTGTAAACACGTTCAAGGATCCCCCACGTCAGGTGACCAGGACACACAAACATTGACGTCACAAAGAATAACCTCCCGATACACATTGTAGTGAGTAGTGGGGAAGTCCAATGGTGAAAACATTCGTGCATCACGCCGAAGACCGGGTTCGATTCCCGACATGGGGTCAACGTGTGAATCCCATTTCTGGAGTCCTCCTTCGTGATATTACTGGGATATTGCTAAAATACCGTTCACTAACTTCAGATGTTGTACAGGATACAAGGGACCTATTACAGGAATATTTCATATTATACCGGTATATGCACACAGTCTGAGATGTGAACATGGAAATCTACGTGTGGGCAAGGGTAAATCATTTACCACGTACTGAAATAGTCACCCTCCGCGGACATACAAAATAACATCATGCGAAAAATATAATAGAAACATACACAAATACACAAGCGATGATAACATAAACTGATCAGGGTGGGTAAAGAGTGAGTGAGTGAGTGAGCGAGCGTGAGGCAATTAGCTAAGGCCATCACAGAGCTTATTCATGCCAGTTGATCTAATTTGGTGCAGATCTTGGAGGTCTTGGAACCTAGATGGTTCACGCTCGTGGATGTTCGGCGAGAGACTCACCATCATGTGGAGAGAGTGAGTGAGTGAGTATTGCTTAATGCCGCATCAGCAATTTTTCAGCAATTCGCGGGGGCTTCATGTGGATCATCATTCCATCGGTAAACCACAAGTTGGGCTGTTAACAGTCCGTACAAGTTTCACCATTGATTGAACTAATAATGCCGGTTGCTGAATGATAATCAGACGTTTGGTTATTGATATTTATGCAGAGTTTGATAGTATACTGAAGTCCACACACTCAAAGAGACATCCACGCCGACAAACACATACGCAGAGACAAACACACGCACAGACGCATATGCATCTGTCCATGTGTGTATGTGTGGGGCGGTGGGGTAGCCTAGTGGTTAAAGCGTTGGCTCGTCACGCCGAAGACCCGGGTTCGATTCCCCACATGGGCATAATGTGTTAAGCCCATTTCTGGTGTCCCCCGCCGTGATATTGCTGGAATATTGCTAAAAGCGGCGTAAAACTAAACTCAGTCAGTCAGTCAGTCAGTGTATGTGTGAGTGAGTGCGAGCGAGTTTAGTCACGTTTATTATTTAATGTCTGGTGTATACTGAATCATAAGTTGGGTGATATGTAGAGAATCTCGCCTGGGTATCTTTGATATCAAATATATAGGAGTATGAGACTTTAATTATCCATTAATCATAAAATCATTTTTGTGTGGTCTTTTCAGGACTGTAAACAGTTGTAACCATATTACTGAGAGAAGAAAATACATCTCACCAGCTTCAATTCCATGAAGATTAGTACTGTAATACAGTCTGATAACACATCCAATATATTTTATGCGAAATAACTTTGCCATATCTTCCCATGAGGCCAAAATACCATGGATACTTGCCCATTCGTGATATAAGGGAGGCAACTCTAATTTAGGAACTCGATACTAATCAAGGGCGAATAACTCTAACTGGTGGTTGGCGTCCGAGAAAGTTAGGCCTGTTTTGCTATTTTCAGAACTTAGGTTCCATTTGTGAAATTATGTCGAATGCAACAAAAGTTGCCAGATTTTTTGAGTTTGGCAAGAAGATAATATGTGTTGGTAGAAACTACAGGTAAACATAATTATTGCCAAGTTATTGCTTTTGAATAATCTGGTGCACAACTAAGGCTGCTCAGACTGAGTCAGAGGCGTGTAAACCACGATCCGCACTTACCTACTTTCAGCAGTTTGATGCCATGTTATGGAATTACACCTGTGAATGCATGTTTACTATCAGCGAAAGAAGGATTTAAGTTTCTTCTGAAGTTTAATGCTAAGTCAAAAGTGATCGAACGAGCGCGCATAGGATAATTTTGTAAACAAGTATGGTGACCTTCTCTTCAATGGATGATAGAGATACGACTCAGATATGACCCATTTTCTAGGTGCAGAGTCCAGTGTCTGTGTTGTAAGATGTGGCTGAAAATTAGCTCTTACTGATGATCCAATCTCAGAGAACTTTACCTTCAGTCGACCCTGTGAATGGAGCTACTGCATGTAGGGGATGTTTCAAAAGAAAGTATTTGCTTGTTGCTCTGTAAACCAATAAATCACTCACTTATTTAGACTAGTAATGTATTCTTGGGAAGCTATTGTGTAGGAAGGACACCTGAACCAGGCCTGGGTCAGAGTTACATCTCTTTGCTGGGGCAGGATCCAGTGATTGTGTCAGAGGACTGACATTCATAGAATGCATAGAATTTACACCACAGAAAACATATATTGATTTGTGAGGGATGCTCTGAAAATTCTGAATTTTTGGATTGCATTATGGTATACCGAACCGAAAGCAAAATACCACGGTTCTACTAATAACGCGGTATACCGTTTCACCCCTACTCAAGAATAACACCAATGACATCACAAGCATTTCAATGCATGTCAGCTGACAAGTCGTTATGTAACCAAGATACTGTTCCAAACAATATAATGAGCAGCACATTCTTCCCTGACTATGGATTGCAGACATGTGATCTGTCATTCATTGAACATAATAAATGTCAGCCAATTTAGTGTGATTAATTTTGCATTTATCGATTATTGAATATATAAAATAAGTGCCATTGTCAGGTTAACTTGAAAAAGAACATTCTTTTATTCCAAACTGATTTCCCCCCTGAATTCACAGGTATTTTTACACTGAAAGCAATTATGAAATAATTTTAAACTAAGCATTAAAGGCTCCATTGGTCCATTACCAGTGCACAGGCAAAGTGTTGCGTAAATAGGGATATTTTATTTTGCCATTAAAAATATTTCTCTAACCGGATTGCAGTAAAATATTTCCGAAGCGAGGGAAGTACATTGCCAACCTTTGCTTGCTTTGCTAGCATATAGAAAGACTGGTCATTTTTCTTTCTCTTTGTTGTGCAACCCTTTTTGCCTTACACTTTACCTGTGACCAGTGAAACACAAGTCTCCTCTGTAAAGCCACAACATTAGTTACAGATGTAACAACATAAATATTAGGTATATTTACGTTTTTGGGGAATTCCATGTTTGGTATATTTTTTACTCCCTTTGGTCCAGTCCATTGTCAAATTTTTCATTATTATACTATAGGCATTAAAAATAAATATTTCAGTTGATTTGTATCTGTTTGTGTGTTGCCCCATGTGTCTAACCAAGGGACATACACTAATGGTGTATACACTTATTGTTTAATAGACAAGAACTCACCATTTGTCTGTCCCAGACCTGAATACTTACAGACCACCATGATGGAGCTGGAACATTGTAGTTGTGGCATTAAACAACATTCACTCACTAACTCTACAATAGCTCATGAGGCACAAAGCAAGCAGAACCCGTCTTACAACGCTTGTGTTTGTAAGGAATGAAACAATTAATGTATGGCTCCAAAGAGAATTAAAACATTTCACTACAGAAAACTTCATGAGGTATTGTTTCAACTGAAGTTTGTATAATCTCTCCAGTGAACATGCTGCAGAACTGGGCAACCCTGTCCCCAAAAAGCCAATCCTGTTCTTGAAGCCGACCACAGCGTATGTGACAGCAGGAGATGCTGTCAAGGTATGTCTGGGGTATCTGATGTATCAGTCTCAGATGAATTTTGTTATTCCACAATTGTAGAAATATTTGCAGAAAATGTACCTTACAGCAGAATAATTGTGGAACTTTACTTTTTTCATCAATCAATAACTTAGCTTTCATGGAACTGTAAGTGCAGGAGATGAACATATCGAAGGCAAAGAAGTGACTTTATATCAGTTTCTGAGGTTGAAATGGTTATGTTTTAACTGTAGAATTTGGTAATTTTAGACAATTACACATGGTAATCTTAATCCCTGCATAAGACATTGTCCAGCAAAAACACATTAGAACTGAAAAGGTAAATAATTTTGTCTAGTGACGTTTAATTGCAAATTTGATGTCTTTACTGACAAAGTCGTCTTCTCTTGTTTGTTTGTTACCCCCTGAAAAATAGTTTGATGAAAGTGTAACCCATAGATAAGCCGACCCCCTTCTACATCCAGCTATTTTTGGTTCTCAAAATTCAGCTTATATACGGTAATATACAGTAATTAAAGTCTTGCTTTGATGAGATTTATTTTCCAGATTGTCAATACGGTCTTTATTGATTGTCTGTTATTGATAACCTTGTATTTTTGCTGTTCAGATTCCCAAAGGGTGTAGCTCATTACATCATGAAGTGGAGCTTGGTGTTGTGATTGGCGAGAAAGCATGTGACGTAGCTGAACCCGATGCCATGAAGTATGTTGGGGGCTATGTGTTGGCGCTGGACATGACCGCCCGGGACTTCCAGGACGAGGCTAAGAAGAAGGGACAGCCATGGACCATGGCCAAAGGATTTGACACGTCATGTCCTGTCGGCGAATTTATTGACAAATGTAAAATTCCTGATCCGAACAACATTCAGCTGTGGTTGAAAGTCAACAGCGATAAGCGTCAAGATGGAAATACGAAAGACATGATTTTCAATATACCGTATCTGATAAGTTACGTGAGTCAGTTTTTCACGTTAGAACCTGGTGATGTGCTACTGACTGGCACGCCCTCTGGTGTTGGGCCTGTGGTGGAAGGGGACGTAATGGAAGCAGGAATTGGAAATATATCCACCATCAAATTCTCAGTGGAGAAGAGATGAGAATATTTCCACCATTGACCTAACATATGTTATGCAGAAATTTGTTAGAAAGTGCATGGGTTGATTTTTCAGATTCAGAATATGAGTGGATGAATATGTGTGGTGGTAATTGGAGAGTCAAAAAGGATTCATGTAATTATTAAGTATATATGGTGACATGACGACCTGACGTACAGTGGAAACCTCTCCAAACTGGACTTGTCTTATCTATATTCCTGTGTAATCAGGCCAATGCTATGGTTGAAAGTTTCTAAGTAATCATACCTCAATCTACGTTCTGCAGACTGAATTCCAACTTACTTTACACTGCAATTACAATGTGATTCTTATCATCCAGAAATTACACTGGTGTGTGTGGGGGTGGGTGTGTGTGGAAGGGTGATTCAGAAAGATTTGAATATCATCCAGAAATAGCATTATTACCAGGAGTCATGGTGGAGGGAGGGACCAATTCCACTTTACTATTGACAATCTTAGGTGTGTGTGGAAGGGTCATCTAAGGAGCGGCAGTTCAGAAAGATTTGAATAGAGTTGTGTCCCTTGTCAATACAGCATTTCCTCATAACAGCAATATTACCAGGAGTCATGGAGTAGGGACCAATTCCACTTTACTATAAACAATCTTAGGTCATCAGTCAGCTGCCAGTGACCAATCATCTAAGGATCGAGACACCTCAACTTTTGATAGAGATACAGAAAGGTCCATACAATGTTGAGCAGTATTTCATAACTGTTCCCTTGTATTGCCTCCTAGAATCAGTGCTGCATTTAAGCAGTATTTAGACAGCTGCTTTTGGGTGTGTGTATAAATATGTATCATCATAGCTGTACTCAGATTCATATAAATACCCAGGATGTGAAGCTTAAGTTGTTGTTTTCACTGTTGATGAAGTAAATGATAAAATGGTATAATAAAAAATTATGATAATATTTATGTTGTGTTGTGACATAATTAACCCCAGTAGACATCTGAGAGAAGGTTATGAAAACAATCAACTGTTTTGAGGTTTCACCACTTAGACACCTGTGTCCCTTACTGTGCTTTGAGACGACCCCAGTAGACATCTGAGAGAAGGTTATGAAAACAATCAACTGTTTTGAGGTTTCACCACTTAGACACCTGTGTCCCTTACTGTGCTTTGAGGCGACCTCAGTAGACATCTGAGAGAAGGTGCTGTTTTGAAGTTTCACCACTTAGACACCCGTGTCCCTTACTGTGCTTTGAGACGACCCCAGTAGACATCTGAGAGAAGGTTATGAAAACAATCAACTGTTTTGAGGTTTCACCACTTAGACACCTGTGTCCCTTACTGTGCTTTGAGACGACCCCAGTAGACATCTGAGAGAAGGTTATGAAAACAATCAACTGTTTTGAGGTTTCACCACTTAGACACCTGTGTCCCTTACTGTGCTTTGAGACGACCCCAGTAGACATCTGAGAGAAGGTTATGAAAACAATCAACTGTTTTGAGGTTTCACCACTTAGACACCTGTGTCCCTTACTGTGCTTTCAGACGACGACTCAACAGAAGTGGTTTGTTTATCTGTTTAACACAAAAAATGCGACACACTTCTTTATCTCTCGGAATGAGTTTATATTTCTATCACAGTGATGCTTTATACAATACATGAAAATATCACACAATCTCCAATCAGCTTGTCAGAGCTAGTTTTGACTCAAATATATTTTTCACAAACTGAAAGAGTTCACTTTCTTCATCTTTAGATGAATCCTGTGATTCCATGGTAAAGGTTATAAGCCCTGACCTCATCTCGGTCAATATGATGGACTTTACTTCTGTCAGTTTTGTAGACAAACTTCTTAAATCTGCTTTTGACAGCTGTGTCTCTGCAACAAATAAATGAAAAGAGTTTGGAAAATACTTCACTGTGAACTGTTCTTACATCAATCCCGTGTGGTGTGTCAGGGCCACCTTACCAGTTTCACCCAGAGATTGGGTGAGGTCAGGTGAAATGGATGTATGGCTACAGGTACAAGTCTGCACGAGTTACAGTACGAAAGGACCGAGATAACATGCTGAAGTGAAACATGGATACCCCACTCAGATGAAGGATACAACAAACCGGTTTTCTTCTTAATGATGAGCACCAGACCAGGTACCAAGAGCCATTTTTAAAGGTCTTATGGTGTGACACTGTCAGATATTGAACGTTACTGAATAACACTGCAAAATTGAATAACACTGCAACTAGATAATGGCGCTGAATGTGTGAGTGTTTGCTCACTTGTACCAAGAAATTAGAAGCCACAACATTGACTGGCTGATCAGAAAGTTCACAAGACATGACCTTCTGTTCATGTTATTTCTTTCTAAAGCATCTGATTTTACCAAGATTTCCAAAAGCTGTTTTCTTTTAACTAAACATGTATATCTTCCCTTTTCCAATCTTATTTCTGCCATGCATCTGAATGTAGTAAGGATTTCAAAATCTTTTCTGCAGAAACATGTATTTGGTGTAATGAAATTCAAACTTTCACTGAACACTCTTAGTAAAGGAAAACGATGACAAATTGGGGTATTTTTGAATGAGATTCTTTTCCTCGACCTTTAGCTGTCTTCATACGAGTTGCCAGCAGTTTACGGAGTATTTGATCAGTTTGGTGGATGACGTTTTCTGAGCAGCGGCGACGACTCTCCTCCTTCCCTGCCACATCCTCTACAACAGCCTGAACTGGATCCAAGATGGCTGCTTCCACCAGGCCCCGCATCCTACAACTGTTAGGGTCACAGATACAGAAATAAATTATTGGCTGCATTTAAATTTGTGCCATAAAAGGGAATTTTGAACAGATAGCATCATTTCACTTTAACATCTACATATGGTTTCTGTAATTGAGGCAGACTCCAATATAACACCGCTCCACTGACGGCTTCCCTGATATAATCCTGTATTTCACCTGAATGTTTAACATATTAACAACATATACATCTAGGTAGGTTAGTTGACACATTTACAACTGCGTGAAGCTCCTCCAAGACAGGCAAACCTGTGTTTGATACCATAAACATCATCATATGACACAGTCACGTTCCACTTATTTACACAGTGTGTCAGCCTAATATAGGTGTTTGTAATCCTGAACTGATGTAGGTGGTAAGCCTGAACTGAGGGGAGTCGTGTATGTTTACCACTTTGATGATGCCCACAAGCAGAGGTATGGTGCTGACAAACCTATACAATCAGGGTGAACTGGGATTCAAACCCATGATGGGTGTCAGACATGCCCAACTGATGCATCTCTGTACAGGGAACTGCAGACCCCTACCTCTGTGCCCTTCAGTGATGTTACTAAGGATAAAACGTCTATGTCACGGCGTCAAACATATTCAATCTCTGGGCTAACCTATTACCCGACAAGAAAGATCACAGAGATATCTAAAAGACACAAGAGACCAGAAAATCCTATAATATTTACTCTCCACTTACCAACCATTCTTTGTGTCATGCGTGATTGATATTGAATATTTTTCCCAGTGGTAAGATGCACCATCGGGAACTTCCATTTTTGTTGCCATGGTTACAATGACATTTTCCTCCACCCTTCCCAGGGTTCTCTGCCTGTTCCTGGCAACAGCCATGTCAGATGGACAATCAACATACACTTCGCAGAATCCAAGTCTATCTGACAAAAATACAAAAGCATTCCATGAGTTTGTCAATAATTTACAAGCTTTTGTTTCTACTGTCATCTATTCAACAGCATGGGGCGGTGGGGTAGCCTAGTGGTTAAAGTATTTCGTGCCAATGACCCATGTTTGATAGCCCTCATTGGTACTGTGTGTGAAGGACATTCCAGGTGTTCCATGCTGATATTCAAGAATATTGCGAAATACAGCATAAAACCCAGCTCACTCACTCACTCACTCAGCTCATTCAACAGCTGTAGTGAATACAAGCCACAATCAGAAAAACTCACATTTTCTGGCCAGTTGATAATAGTCGTATCTCATGCTTCTGTAATACATATTGTCATCAATAACAACCACCATTTGACAGTTGTGACCATTTCTGTTTTCTTCTTGTCCAAGATTGAGTTCAAACTGTGGCCATAATGTTTCTTCTGGTCCCGTCTGACTGGAATCTTCTGACAGTGTTGATGCTTCAGCTTGTGACTGACAAATTAGTGTGTCAGTGTGATGTACATCTCTGTGGTGTGTGTCTGTATGATGTCTGTGGTGTTTATCTGTCTGATGTGTGTCTGTATGATGTTTGTGGTGTTTATCTGTCTGAAGTGTGTCTGTATGTTGTGTGACTACCTGATGTGTGTCTGCCTTCTTGTCCTGTTGATTGACTGTTTGGGGCACCTTCATTTTGTCCAACAGTCTGTCCACACAACTAATAATCACTTCTCTGTACTTCTTCCACAGAGAAATATCCTGAGCCTTAGCGCCCTGGTGTATCAGCTGTTTCTCTGTGTCAGGCGGCATGAGTTTGTCATAGTCCACCACATGACAGGAGAACTCTTCTGACATGGAGGTAACAAACTGAGACACCAGGGTTGTCTTCCCGCTGGCCGGCAGACCACACATCACCATAATACATCCAGGCATCCTCAACGCAAGGAGACACTGAAACATTAAGCAATGGGATCTATTTGATCAAATCAAACTATATAAAAAACCAGGTCAATACTACCTTAAACAGTTGTCAAACATTAACATTTACTGTCCCAAGTGAATGAGTTTCCTTTTCCATAAAAAACAAATGCCAGTACCTCTTGAACTTTTGTAGAGTCAGTAAGTGAATGTCGTTTTATGTTAGAGTCAAATTCCAGCTGTACCATCTTCATCATCATAATAATCATCATCATCTATTGTGTTGCATAGGTGGATCCAGAGAGGGGGTGTGGGTGTGTGCAGGGGTGCACACCCCTCCTTTTGTCCTGAGAGTTTATTAAATGACCATTGAAACTCTCGTGAAAATGAAGTGTGCAACCCTCCTTTCTCAAGAATGTACACCCCACCTTTCTCAAAAAGCTGTATCCGCCCCTGTGTTGCCTTGACAGAGATATGACAGAAAACATATTCAATATTATTTATTTGCAAATCCACCATATGTTCTGAAACAAGTCTTCAGTTTTGGCAGTGAGCCAAGAAAGAACTATGACTCCTAGATTTGACTTAACATTGTCAGGGCACCATGACCTGTCAAATATGTGTTGTCTGGGAGAGAATAGTTGCTGTTTACATCAAAAATAGAATATTTCTATCTCAGTATGTACTCAGTGACATGGGATAATAAGATCTGGTCCAAATCTAATCAAGATTTCTTACACAGTTTGAGGTAAAGGGGTGTAACAGATGCATATGTTTGAGATATCATGGCATTCATTTAGAATTAATTTGTTCTTGTAGATAAATACTGAGCAGTCATCACAAGAGAAATGTACGTTGCTGAGACCCTAGTCAGAGATAGTGAGGCTTGATAGAACCACTCAGCAGTTTGTTCACACAACCTACATTGTGTATGAGTTTGCACAGAATAAACAAAATACTGATCGTGATCCTATTTGTTTAGTGTTGCTTGTGTATCAATATGTATAACAAAATTACAAAACCCAGTATCATACCACTCTGTGTATTTATCCAATGTCTCTTCACCTTGTGTACATGTATTTATAAGCAGATCATGAATTACAGACTGCGTATCACATACATGAACAGCAGTGAATAATGCCTAAAGTTAGGGCTATCTCTCACTTGTTAACTAGATGTACATCCTGTACATATCACATACAATAACTATAACATGATAGGACCTGAAGCAGCATTCTGATTGGTGTAAATACCAGATAGACTGGACTGGTATGACTAAAACACTGGCCCATTTCTAAAATGCCTACAGATAAAACCAAAAATAACATTGTAAAATCTACGTGTCAAAGACCTCGTGCTCATATTGATATGACTGCCTGAATGGATAAAGTATTCGATATATTTTCATCTGTCATGTAGACGAACAATTTTATTGATAAACAACTTCTTTATTGAAATACATGTACCGTATTGGTGTAGATGCTAAGCAAGTGATACAGAACATAATAGCCTGAACAGATATATATCACAGAATAAATATTCAATATTATTATTTGCAAATCCACCATATGTTCTTAAACAAGTCTTCAGTTTTGGCAATGAGCCAAGAAACAACTCTGACACCGAGATTCGACTTAACACTATCAGAGCACCATGACCTTTGAACTATGTGTTGACTGGTACAGCGTAGTAAGTATCAGCACTGAAAGAATCCAACACAACAACTGGTAACCATGTTGTCATTGCACAATGGCACGAAATGCCCAAACACATCACGAGGACACAACCATTGATCTACTGACAGGGTTGCACCACACGATTGCAATCACCTGCTTCATGCCAAAGTATTATCAATTGGGAAGATAAGAGTACATGATTCACAGAAGAAAATATTTATCACTGAGACTAATTAACACTTCATCCATTGAGTAATCTACCATACTAATAAAGTGCCCTTGGCAGGAAAATGGGGAAAAATTGCTGTTGAGTTCAAAATTGGGATAATAAAAAGTTCTCGTATCAGAAGTGTTTTCAAAAGTTCTGGCATTTAATAGAGTAATAAGAAGCCAAGTGTTTTCAAATTGTCTTTCGACTGACTGACTGACTATTTAATAGAGCAATATTCCAGCAGCCAATGATTAAAGCTTCACACTTTACAGCCGGGCCATGAGCCAACGCTTTAACCACTCAGTAAAGTCCACTCGACTGAACCATGACACCAGCAACATCAACTATTACATCATGAGTCAGAGCTATGTACCGTAACATTCTGTACAGGTCAGGCTGGATAAATCCCTGCCAACAGAGGAAGGGAGCATTTTCCATATTCTGTGGGAGAAAGTGACTGTAGGTCCTAGTCATCAATAATTAGAGATAGCAAATGTACAAGTCCTAGACACCAGTAGTTGGTGAGTGTACATTTGTATGTCCTTAGGATGGGAAAGCCACATTGACTCGGTGTGCCTAGTGGCTGCAAGAGTTGCATGCTCTCCAGGGATTTGAGATTAATAATATGATGTGCTGTTTGAGATTCACATCCAATGATCGAGGAAAAATCAAAGCACCTTTGAGCACCTGAGCTGGATATTGGTGCAATACATATGTTAGTATAATGTTCTAGACACTAGTAGTTGGTGGGTGTACATTTGTATGTCCTAGACACCTGTAGTTGGTGAGTGTACATTTGTATGTCCTAGACACCAGTAGTTGTTGAGTGTACATTTGTATGTCCTAGACACCAGTAGTTGTTGAGAGTACATTTGTATGTCCTAGACACCAGTAGTTGTTGAGAGTACATTTGTATGTCCTAGACACCAGTAGTTGTTGAGAGTACATTTGTATGTCCTAGACACCAGTAGTTGTTGAGTGTACATTTGTATGTCCTAGACACCAGTAGTTGTTGAGTGTACACTCTGATGTTCTAGACACCAGTAGTTGGTGAGAGTACATTTGTATGTCCTAGACACCAGTAGTTGTTGAGTGTACAATTGTATGTCCTAGACACCAGTAGTTGGTGAGAGTACATTTGTATGTCCTAGACACCAGTAGTTGGTGAGTGTACACTCTGATGTTCTAGACACCAGTAGTTGGTGAGTGTACATTTGTATGTCCTAGACACCAGTAGTTGGTGAGAGTACATTTGTATGTCCTAGACTACAGCAGTTGTTGAGTGTACATTTGTATGTTCTAGACACCAGTAGTTGTTGAGAGTACATTTGTATGTCCTAGACACCAGTAGTTGTTGAGAGTACATTTGTATGTCCTAGACACCAGTAGTTGGTGAGAGTACATTTGTATGTCCTAGACACCAGTAGTTGGTGAGTGTACACTCTGATGTTCTAGACACCAGTAGTTGGTGAGTGTACATTTGTATGTCCCAGACACCAGTAGTTGTTGAGTGTACATTTGTATGTTCTAGACACCAGTAGTTGTTGAGAGTACATTTGTATGTCCTAGACACCAGTAGTCGGTGAGAGTACATTTTTATGTCCTAGACACCAGTAGTTGGTGAGAGTACATTTGTATGTCCCAGACACCAGTAGTTGTTGAGTGTACATTTGTATGTCCCAGACACCAGTAGTTGGTGAGAGTACATTTGTATGTCCTAGACACCAGTAGTTGTTGAGAGTACATTTGTATGTCCTAGACACCAGTAGTTGATGAGTGTACACTCTGATGTTCTAGACACCAGTAGTTGGTGAGAGTACATTTGTATGTCCTAGACACCAGTAGTTGGTGAGAGTACATTTGTATGTCCTAGACACCAGTAGTTGGTGAGAGTACATTTGTATGTCCTAGACACCAGTAGTTGGTGAGAGTACATTTGTATGTCCTAGACACCAGTAGTTGTTGAGAGTACATTTGTATGTCCTAGACACCAGTAGTTGTTGAGAGTACATTTGTATGTCCTAAACACCAGTAGTTGATGAGTGTACACTGATGTTCTAGACACCAGTAGTTGGTGAGAGTACATTTGTATGTCCTAGACACCAGTAATTGGTGAGTGTACACTCTGATGTTCTAGACACCAGTAGTTGGTGAGAGTACATTTGTATGTCCTAGACACCAGTAATTGGTGAGTGTACACTCTGATGTTCTAGACACCAGTAGTTGTTGAGTGTACATTTTTATGTTCTAGACACCACTAGTTGTTGAGTGTACACTCTGATGTTCTAGACACCAGTAGTTGTTGAGAGTACATTTGTATGTCCTAGACACCAGTAGTTGTTGAGAGTACATTTGTATGTCCTAGACACCAGTAGTTGTTGAGAGTACATTTGTATGTCCTAGACACCACCAGTAGTTGTTGTACATTTTTATGTTGTACAGTTTTTATGTTCTAGACACCACTAGTTGTTGAGTGTACACTCTGATGTTCTAGACACCAGTAGTTGTTGAGAGTACATTTGTATGTCCTAGACACCAGTAGTTGTTGAGAGTACATTTGTATGTCCTAGACACCAGTAGTTGTTTAGTGTACATTTTTATGTTCTAGACACCAGTAGTTGTTGAGTGTACACTCTGATGTTCTAGACACCAGTAGTTGGTGAGTGTACACTCTGATGTTCTAGACACCAGTAGTTGGTGAGTGTACATTTGTATGTCCTAGACACCAGTAGTTGGTGAGTGTACATTTGCATGTCCTAGACACCAGTAGTTGGTGAGTGTACATTTGCATGTCCTAGACACCAGTAGTTGGTGAGTGAGTGAGTTTAGTTTCACGTCGCACTCAGCAATGTTCCAGCTCTATGGCGACGGTCTGTAAATAATCGAGTCTGGACCAGACAATCCAGTGATCAACAGCACGAGCATCAATCTGCGCAATTGGGAACCGATGACATGTGTCAACCAAGTCAGCGAGCCTGACCACCCGATCCCGTTAGTTGCCTCTTACGACAAGCATAGTCGCCTTTTGTGCCAAGCATGGGTTGCTGAAGACCTATTCTACCCCAGATCTTCATGGGTACAGTAGTCGGTGAGTGTACATTTGTATGTCCTAGACACCAGTAGTTGTTGAGAGTATATTCTGGTGTTCTAGTTATCAGTAGAGCACAGGTGTGTGTTCTAAACAGCTGGTTCATGTCAGCATTAGTTGGTGTATAATTCCTTGTCCTGGTCAGTAGGAGGTCCTTTAATGGTTTACGTCAATGTCAACAGTAGTGTGGTATTATGTCCTAACTGACATTCTGAAACATATGCGGGATTCAACTGCTGGTATTAAAAACTAAGATTCGGTACTGTTAAGCTCTGACATCAGGCTAGCTAAGATACATAGCGTTCACTGACATGAACGCTATGCAGCACCTCCATAGGCCGCAATGGTGGAAATCCTTTGTCGCATTTTCGCGCACTCGTTACGACTTTTGCGCACGAAAAACTTATATGAAATACTTCTTTGTACTTATACCTACACGTGCGCCCTATTTTCGTTATCAAAATATCCAAAAATATATATTTACAAGCCATCAAACATCTCAGTCGATCGCTCACATATGAGCGGGGCCATTTTGAATCACGTGACCTGTGACGCGTAGGGGATATCCCTCCCAAAAATAGTAACACACGTGTTCCATACCTCGTTGCTTGTTGACAACACACTTTCATACATTTTAGGCAATTAAAACGATTGTATGGAGATATTCGTTTCAATCTAGACTGACTGACCACCCCTGCTTTTCAACAGCTGTTTTCAAAGGAATTGCTGGTGAGTTTTCAATGCTTCATATAATTTAAGATTATTGCTGTCACCTTCACAGTTCCTCCGGTGTCTCTGTACTACTCCTGGATATTTGCCCACAAAACACTGTTTACTAATTGAATTTAGGACTTAAATAATTAATGAGTTCACGAATTAATTATCTATAAATTCATGTATACCCCAAAACCTTAAATATTCCTCAGTACACAACTCTCCTACCTTGAATAATATTTTAAATATTTCCATGTTGTATTAGGTCTCAAGCACCAGCTACAAACCTTGCCAAAATCATCTTTTCATTTCCATATTAGCAACCAAGTGGCCAAAACGTGTTATTTGTCACCATGAATTGTAAACAAATACTAAAATAAGGGGATACACCAATAAATCAATTGTTGAATGAGGGGATCATTCAAATTACAGCACAATGCCAAATATCATACTTAAACTCTTGTGCATACACCATTGGACAGAAGGCTTTTATTTGTTAGGTCAATTGAAGAAAATTCATTTGCAAATATTACAGTACCTCTTATCTTTTGACAGCCAAAATAGCAGGCTTTCCAAATTATCAATGAAGTGTTAGTTTAGAAAGTCTGCTTTTCAAGGTGCAATTAGATGTTTATTGAGAACATCAACAATGATAAGGATATGAAATTGTGCATGAAGTTTATTCTTTTGAAGGTATAAGTTTAAACTCATGTTAAATTAAAGTGATAATTAATAATTAACATTGATATGCACTTTTTTACTGGTATTCAAGGTTGAAAGTTGAGACAAGAAACCATGGATGACAGTGTCTGTGCCCATTGCAAGGGCAAGTTCAAGAGAAAAACAAAGGGATGGAAGAGATATAGTTACAGCTTGTGTCTATTTTTTTGTGAAACTCACTGTTATAACTTATCAAAACAAAAGTCATCAAAAGATGACAAATTGTGAGTGAAAAATATTGAGCGGTTTTACAGTTCTGCTCCTGAAAGAACACTACCACCAATTTCAGTCAAAGTCGAAATTGTTGCCATGGAAACACCCAAAAATTATTTTATACAGAAATCCCAAACTACCAAAGGCACCAGTAAACCAGTACATCTATCTATGTGTCAAGTTGGGTGAAGAAATAGTGAGCAGTTTGAAGTTCTGCTCGGAAAGAGCGAATGTGCGGACGGACTGGTAGGCGCATTTTAATAATTTGACATTTGGCTTTGTGCTGTAATTTGAATGATCCTTCCCCTTTTAACAATTGCTTTCTAGATGTATGGAACACGTGTGAAAATTCACGAATAAAGGACTGCCTGACTGGGCAAATTGAAAGTTAATCTATTTGTTGTTGAGCTTTGATTTAGAGACCATTTACAACCTAAGGTTTCTGCTTAAATTGTATGTAAAATAATATTTACAGCTTTTATTCCTGATGGAGTTACACTTAGACTGAAGGGGTCTTTGTTGGCACGGGTACTACAGACATGTACCCCAGGTACGTTTCTGTATACCAGTATACAGAAACGTACCTTGGCCATAATGAGAATACAGAAACGTACCCTAGGACGATTCCATTCCCATTGTGTCGTATTCTTGACCGGAACTGTCATACTGTTGTATAAGGTACATTTGATTGCGTTATGTAAGTAATGAGAATACACAGTAACGGATATTTCACGATGCACATGAATACCACTCGCAATCAGTTGAACGGGAACAACTACATACGGTTTCGGTTTTTGGATTGCGGAATATGGACTCGTCCGCCTTTTAGGGTACCGGGTACGTTTCTGTATTTTGACTTTGTTTAGGGTACATATCTGTATACAGAAACGTACCTGGGCTACGTATCTGTAGTACCTGTGTCAACAACGACCCCTTCAGCTACACTTAGTACACTCACATAACACCACGATTGCCTGTTTACTAATCGGGCACACGAAGGGTTTTACAGTAGAGACAACCAATCAATGAAGTGTCCATTTGTTTACATAAATATGACAGGTCCAAACTGACAGATCTACGCCAATCAGCACACGTGTGAACACCTGGAAGCCGCCATGTTAGAATCAACTCCGTACTCGCGTGTTTTGCGCATTTGAAGTACGGGCAATCTAATTGGTAGAAAATATATTTTATTCAGTCCAAAACCTATGTCAATGAATTGCATCTTTTATGATAGCTAAAAATGTATTTTGAAGAACTAGATATAATAAATTTTAATTTTCAATCGGGTATGCACGATTTTGCATGTTTTCTAAGGCGTTTATTTTTAGATCATTGCCAATTGACCAATGAGAAGAGTCGTGTTATCCGATTTCGGCGTCGTGCCATAACGTGACGTCAAACTTCATTCACATGGCTTGGCGAACTTCATCATTGCACAATTCCATGTAAAAGTTCTTTATTTAAGCCAGTGACATTATTTACAAATTTCTCATGTGAGTATTTTGAAAACAGAGGTTGTAAAGTAGGAAGTAAGGAGCCATCTTGGCTTAAAACGCCTTTTCTGGGGCGGAATTTGACTGTAAACCCTTCACCATACGGGAAGGGGACGACACGCGTGACGAAGGTATTTCCGTCGTGTCTACCTGTTGGATTCAGCAATAAACCATGGCCACGAACGGTGTAGATGGGGGCGAGTCAAGCGCCGACAGAAATGTAGAAATCTGGAAAATAAAGAAACTGATCAAGAGTCTTGAAGCGGCAAGAGGGTAAGAAGCAAATTATTTTTTTTATCCCACGCGAATTGTCAGAATTTTCTCTATCGGACGGTTCCCGTTAAAACTTGATTTCACAACTTCTTTTACTTTTAAATCATTCTTGAGGGCCGAACACATGCTGTGATTAAAAAAAATCTGTCTAGATCTTCAGCCTGGTGTTTCAAAAATTTCACCATATTTGTCCCATATTTTTCATACAGTTTGTACTTGTTGAACTTTCAGTCGGTTAATCATAACTTGGGAATATGCATTAGACAAAAATCTACATCTCTTTCAGCACCACAATTAATGTCTGTCTGAGCTTTGGTAAGTAATACATGTAAAGCAAACTACCACAAGAAAACATGACCTTCCATGATTGTTGGTGTCAGAATTTACATGAAGATTATGAATAACCTTTTCAATGTCTTTTTTTCAGAAATGGAACAAGTATGATTTCATTAATCATCCCACCGAAAGATCAGATATCTCGAGTCAACAAAATGTTGGCTGATGAATTTGGGACAGCGTCCAACATCAAGAGTCGAGTAAACAGGCTGTCCGTGTTAGGGGCAATTACATCTGTACAGCAGAGACTCAAATTATACAACAAAGGTAAAATATAACTTTAGACAGCAGGATATGTTTGGGGAGTAGTGGCTTTACTAGCCAGGTGCACCTTTTCTGAATTCAATTGGTTCTGTGTGGAGGACCAAATTCAAATTCAAAGTCAGGTTAATGAGTTCATTTAATTAGGCAGCTCCCTATCTGGGTGAGTGTTATCAGAAGTAAATTAGTGCTTGTTTATGTAATTATCAGGGTAAGACTTCCATCCGTATCCACCCTAAATTTCAACGATGAGGAAAACTTTCCTTGTGTTGCATTTTAAAAGTAGAATATGTCTTTCAGTATGTCCAGATACAATTAATGAAACATGTTAAAACTTATCCTTATCAGATGAGGAATATATTTTATTCAAGTGATATGATTTGGCTAGAATGAAATTTAAGGGGGGATACGGGCGGAAGTCTTACCCTCTAATGTTTCAAAATGTTCAAATGATTCTTGTTTTTAGAGGAACAAATTTGGAGGACTATTTTCAGAATTTTCAATTTAAGAGTGATCATGATTGGTTTAGATAAGGTCCCCAGCATTTTATGCTGATCTTAAAGGACAACCAGTTGATAAAGTAGTCAGCCCTGTGACGAATTAATGTACCACTGTACGTCACAATGTTGATTACTGGCTTGTGTGTTTCCAGGCTAGATTAAATACACTGTTCAGCAGCTGGAATCTATTAAGTGGCCTTAAACATGTAAAATAAGTGGAACTCGGCAATTTTTGTCTGCTCCAGAAAACTGAAAATATTCATGTACCAAATCAATAAATTTGGAACACCTTTAATCTAATATTGAAAAGTGTTTGGGGAAATTTCAAGGAATTTTTAGCTGGATGTTATTGTTTTTCTCAACAGTTCCTCCCAATGGTCTTGTAATATACTGTGGCACAATCATTACGGAGGAGGGGAAAGAAAAGAAAGTCAACATTGACTTTGAGCCGTTCCGGCCGATCAACACATCCTTGTATTTATGTGACAATAAATTCCACACAGAGGTAATTCCTTTACATTTTATAGATGTTGATGCAGTATCACTTTTGGACATGTTTTAGTCATGCACACAATTCTCCATGATAAACTTTCTTTTTGTCTTCCACTTGATAAATGGTAGCGGCCAGTGAAGCTAGCAATTTCATTGGCATATGGATGTGTTTTATCAAGGTGTCCTATATAATTATGAAAAAGATTGTACCTGCATATGTCAGCCTCATGGCAGTCTGCAGTGACAAGTTAAAATGGGAGCAGTTTTCCTCAATACTGAGATACACTGGAGATACACAATAGTTAAATAATGTGTATTGCCTTTAATGTTTGGGCATGCCTGAAACCTGTGATTGTGAGTTTAACCAAAGTCATAAATGCATTACGATGTATTTCCTTTACTCATTTCCCAATTGCGCCGGTCGATGCTCATGATGTTGATCACTGGATTGTCTGGTCCAGACTTGATTATTTACTGACCGCTGGAATATTGCTGAGTGCAGCGTAAATGAACTCACTCACTCCTTTACTCATTAGGCTGACCCCTTCTTGCCTATTACCTATATAGTATTTTACCCTGCTATAACCCCTGCTATTTTCCCTGTTTCAGGCCTTGACAGCACTATTAGCTGATGACAACAAATTCGGGTTCATCGTGATGGATGGTAATGGAGCTTTGTTCGGCACACTATCAGGAAACACAAGGGAGGTCCTTCACAAGTTCACAGTTGATCTGCCAAAGAAGCATGGTAACTTATTTTCACTGATAGGGTATTTGTGAAGCTGATCGCGAGGTATATAATCAGCTTATGCAGAGATACGGAAAAACACAAAATACACTAGTACGATAGCAGTAAAAATATACAATTTTTTAATAAAATACATTAAATTAAATTACCAAATAGCATATGTACCATACACAATAAAATTTCAACAAAATTTTATTCCGTATCCAGCTGTATGTGGATACTTAATACTGATTAGATGAGTACACTGTTAATAACAAGCTCTTAGAACATCTATATATTTTTTGTTAAATATGAAAACCCTTAGGAAAAGTTAATCCTAATTTTGGCCTAAAAGTACTAATTTTTGCATCAGTTTTTGGCCAAAATACTAATTGGGCCAAATTAGGGTTGGTATCTCTGGCTTATGTGATATCAGTGTATAAAACTACCCTAAACCTTTTACCAGACCACAGGGCTGATACTCGTAAGACCTGCCCGCACTACTGAGAACCAACCAGTCCTATCAACATTGTCTTAAAGTACATTTTGATCAAACTAAACAGAAGGAAAAGTATGTTTGAGCGTATTTAAATGCACAAATTTCACAACATGATAACCTTCGATATATTGGACCACATCAAGTTCTTGGAAATTGATTGATGTGTCGCTGAGGGTAAAGTCTAGAGACATTATTGTTCAAATATTCACCTGTCTGTCAGTCAGGAAACTTAATCATTTTACGACCAAAGTTAACATGTCTCGAGTGTTTGTTTGAACACTAGTGATATAGATTTTTTGTTTTGTTTACTTTTCATGTATTGTTAGAATACTTCTATCTTTTGTAAATAGAGTACTTGTATGTGTGATTTATTTTACTGAGTCAACATTTCCTTGTTTACTTCACAGGGAGAGGAGGTCAGTCAGCCTTGCGTTTTGCCCGTCTCAGAATGGAAAAACGACACAACTACGTCAGAAAAGTTGCAGAAGTCGCAGTACAGCTATTCATCTCAAACGACAAACCAAACATTGCAGGTTTGGTCCTTGCTGGTTCAGCTGACTTCAAAACAGAACTTAGCCAGTCCGATATGTTTGACCCTGTGAGTGAATTCCTTACTGTGTTTGTCAGGTGTTTCTTGTGGTTTTGAGAAGTGCAAGTGCAGTACGTTTTGAGAATAGCCATCAACTTGTACTTATGTGGGGAATCGAACCTGGGCCTTTGGCCTGACGAACAAATGCTTAAACCACTACACTACCCCACCGCCCAGTCTGCTTTTGAAAAATGCCCTGTCGTATTCCGGTGCAGAATTGTGCCCTATTCTTACAGAAATGGGTGACTTGCATAGATCATTGATCAGACCTGGCTGCTTTGGAGTAAAATTATGCACGAAATCAGCCACGCGTGTTTGTCATATGCAGACATGTTTTACTTCTACCTAAACCAGGTGCTTTCTATTTCAGAGGTTACAAGCAAAAATTATCAAAATAGTTGATGTCTCATATGGAGGTGAAAATGGCTTCAACCAAGCAATAGAACTGGCATCGGATGCCTTAGCCAACGTCAAATTTATACAGGAAAAGAAACTCATAGGTAAGCAACTGTTTGTCAGTCTACACTGTTATCCTCGTTTGTGGAATATTTTGCAAAATGTTAAAATGATTTCAAACAAATGCTGTGAAAAAGCTGATACATTGCTGACCAGTTAAAAAACAACATTCATTCTATAAGTTATACGGGGTATTATCAGTCCCTCGTAAGGTTGTATTCCCTGAGCCGGAGGTGAGGGGAATACAACCTTACGAGGGACTGATAAAACCCTGTATTTCCCTTGACCCGATGTGATAATTCATTTATCTAGCTGAATGTTTTCACTAAGTCAAAAGAAAACAATACGCATCAATTTCATTCTCTGTTGTTGTGGGAAAACGTTTCCTTGCTGCCATGTTGACACCAGCTGATTGATTGACGTCAGTGCAGCGCACATTACTAAAGGCTTGGCGATGCACGCTTTTCTCACTTCGCGTGGTCACCAAGGCGTGGCGGGATAATCTGACTTTTGTACTCCCTGCTCGCGGATCGTGACGTGTGTACATGGCATTTTATCAGAGTCACGTGAACCAATCAAAACTCGACATTCTTACATGAGGCTGGATAATGAGCTTAATCCGTGCTTGCTGAGTTTTGAAAGTTGTGCGATGTGACACTTTTCACCTTTTTGTTTTAGGTCGGTATTTTGATGAGATTTCCCAGGACACGGGCAAGTTCTGTTTTGGTGTGGAGGACACGCTGAGGGCGATGGAGATGGGAGCAGTGGACATACTCATTGTGTGGGAGAACCTGGACATCCAGAGGTTCACGCTCAAAAACCATCAAACTGATGGTAAGCATCGTTTCTAGAACAGCTTTGGAATAATCTTCAAGCATGGTCACCCTATGGGCACAGTCAAAACCAATGACTTTTGACGTGAATCCAAGAATCCTCGAGAATGTTATTCACTTGTGTTTCATGTAAAAGTAAAGGACCTCCATCACTTTGGTTTTTATCCTATTTCTACCTAATTTTTAAAAAGAACTTATATACTTACAATACTGCTCATAATGTTTACTGTTTATTTGTCTGGTCAAGATTTTATTATTTACAGGCCATTGTCACCCGATTGACATCTGTAATATTTTTGAGTACCGCTTTATACAACATATGCTCCAACCATGTTGTAATATATTAATGGTTTGTCCCATCTCCTGTGTGTATGCTTATGTAAACTTTTCTAGGTTTTGACATATCAGTTTGGCAAACCCTCATTGGTTAGATTGTGCACTCTTGGTGTTTTGGACTTGCATATTACTTGAATATTGCTTCCTTGTGTGTAATGGAACCCCTAAGACCTAAGTGTGGAGAAATATATGTCATCCCCATGATGATGGTGATGGTGATAATGATGATGGAAAAATCAGCCTCACACTTTTTTCAGTGGGGATCAAGCTACATTTACAGACATCTGGAAAGAGATGTAGTTGTTTGTGAAACTAATATATGCTATTTATTGAAAACAATATTCATTAGTAAAATATATATATGATTTGTTTTTGTTTTTCAGAGGAGAAAGTCATTTTCTTGAAGCCAGAACAGGAAAAGGACAAAACGTACTTCACAGACAAGGATGTGAGTATTGTGTCTATGGAGACTTGGGGTTTACACAATTAATCTGCAGTTTCTCATATCTTGTTGATTTTTCTCTAAGATGTGTGAATGGTGGTCTCCGTATAATGGCTAGTTAGCTGTATACTGCACAGTTATAGGGGTGGTGGGGTAGCTTAGTGGTTAAAGCATTTTCCCGTCATGCTGAAGACCAGGGTTTGATTCCTAAATGGGTACTATGTATGAAGCCTGTTCCTGGTGTTCCCCTGCCGTGATATTACTGGAATATTTCTTAATGCGACGTAAAACTAAACTAACTCACATATTGCAGTATTGTTTGGTGTCCTGGCATTTTGTAAAAATATGATAAAAAAGATTTTGATTGTGTCATTTATTCTAACCTGGGTCTTCCTGCTAGTCGTGCTGGTATAGTACACTATGAATGATTACACTGTTGGCAAAGGACAAAATCTTAAGGACAAACTCTAGTACACTTTCAGTGGAGTCCCATCTGGGATTCACTGATGGGAATCCACCAGAAAAAAGTACTGGAATTTTGTGTTTTATTAAGAAAGTGTAATCCCAAATATAACATCTGGCCACTTTTTAATAGCCATGGTATTACTGAAATACCTTGATTGACATACCTTTATTTATTAGGTTCACAGTGATTTCCATGATGAAGTATTGATTTGTGTTAAATGATCGTGTTTGCAGTCGGGAGTGGAACTCGAGCTAGTGGACCAGATGCCCTTACTGGAGTGGTTTGCCAACAACTACAAAAACTATGGTGAGTTACCTCCCTTTGTCCCCACAGCACATCCACCAGCAGGTGTTTCTGGAGCATAATTCTGACCTGTAAACATTAAAGATTGTCAGATGTGCATATAATGATGTGGAGATTGTTTTATTTATGTTCTGTCTGATTTGAAACTTTTGTATTTTCATGTGATGAATTTCTTTGTAGTATAGATTCTAGATTTGCTAGTATGTCTCTTTTATTTCAGGTGCCACACTTGAAATCATTACAGACAAGTCCCAAGAAGGAGCCCAGTTCGTGAAAGGATTTGGAGGCATTGGAGGTAGGAAATGTGGAAAGAGGCAGTAACAAAAGCTTGTTCATTCAAGCTTCATTTTAGACAGTTGGTGTTTGAGAGTGTACTGGTTGAATCATGAATTTGCTGTGGTTGCAACCTGTGTCTATGTTTTGTGTAGTGAAATATAGTATCCACTGTTTTCGTGAATAGTGTGTGTGTGTGTAAATATAAGCCCAAGTTAGAATGTTTTTCTGCTGACACTTTTTTAGTTAAAGTGTTGGAGATGGGTGCAGTGGTGGCCCAGTTGTCGTCCATTGGTCTAAGGCGCTGTCCAGAGTTTGGTCTGTTGATCATTCTAGAAATCTATGATTGTTCATTCGAAACCTATTTTGTCCTTATCTTTCTAGGTTTGTTAGGGGCGGTGGGGTAGCCCAGTGGTTAAAGCGTCCGCTTGTGATGCCGAAGACCCTGGATAGATTTCCCACATATTTACATTGTGTGAAGCCCATTTCTAGTGTCCCTCGCTGTGATATTGCTGGAATATTGCTAAAAGCGGCGTAAAACTATACTCAGTAATTCTAGGTTTGTTTGCACCATACCCCTGCTTCCATGTTTCACCAAAGTAGTAAGCAAGGCCAGAATCTCTTGGGATTTTCGTCTCATATAGGCTGACCGGGATATAACTGGAATACTGATCCAGGTGCTATTAACACCCTAACTGACTATTATATGGGCTTACAATGTGAAACATTTCAGTTATACACACGTCATGACTCACATAGACCCATGAAGGTCCTGCTTAGAATATTGCTGACTGCGGCGTAAACCTACACTCACTCACTCACTCACTGAACAATCACTTAGGACAGTAGTTTGTACCATCTAGTTAATTTGTGTACACACTGTTGTACTGTGTAGTTTGCTTCTGATTGTCTGAATAGTCCATTGTCTTTTTTCAGGAATTCTTCGGTATCAAGTGGATTTCCAGAGTTTGTGTGCCCAGTTTGATGAATACGATGACTATGACCTCGACGATTATTAAAGGACTTGTCCCAAAACTTACTGATGAGGAGTTGGACGCAACTGGGCAAGAAAAGTTGTCGACGGGAAACATCTTCTATAGAATTGTATCTCAGGATCTGCCACTACATTCTAGTGTTACAAACAAGCCATGGCACACCTATGCTCTTATTGGGATGTGCAGGAAACAATTGATGGCCAAGTCCATTTATTGTCAGAAGGGAAATCAGGTCACTTTTGACCTTTTCCTTTTGATCTGTTTAATGTTCATATGTTAAACATTTGAACGGGAACTGAGAAATTCTGTGATCACATTGTGAATTCAGTTCCACATTTGCTAAAGAAATTAATTTAATATGACAACTTGTTTGCATGTGAGAAACCTAGCTTATGTTAATGTATGATATAAATTTGTAAACGACCATGAAGCTTAAGGCTGTAATGAATAAATTACTGGACAGATTAATCTTTGTGTCTATAAACCACTCTCCCGTAAAGTGCATCTTAATGTCATATTTAGTTTTTCTAAGAATTTGCTGCATTAAGGTCAATAAAATATTTACTTGAATAAAATAAAATTACCTCAATTTGAAAATGTCATTGAGTTGTTGTCCTCTAAATTCAGAATTATATTGAAAACACCTGCTTCAACTCAATATGACCACAGTTAATGTATATTGCTGTGTGATATGGTCAAGTGGCAGAATCAAGGCCAAACCCTTCTCTCACTCATGGTTCACCATCCAGTGCATAGATCCCTTATTCGCTAACAATCATCCCTTTAGCAATGAGTCTGTGAGTTGCTTAAAGCAGAAATAAGTTTTTCAACTAGGCATTACTCGATAAAAAATGTTGACATAAGGATTGACTTCTGGCAATGAAAACTCCTATGAGTCACATCCTTACCACATATGAGTTTATACATATGCGTATTGCATTCTACACAGTGTGTTTGGTCAGTTATCAGCGTTTGTGGGGATTGAATATTGTAATGGAAGGACAAAGCAGGTGTTTTTATATGTATTCCTGAAAGACAGTAATAGCAATACAGGGAGCACTGAATTATTATTTTTATTCAATGCCTAATTTCTTTTGATATGAATCCGGTATTTTTGAAGCAACAGAATATTAGTTTGCAAAGTTAATGACATCTTGTTTTTGCTTCACACTGTGTGAAAAAGGTAACGATTCTGGATTAAAGCATTACAATGAATATATTGGTCTTCAAGTCTGAGATGAATTCATAAAAGCTGTTTCTCAAAGTGTTTAGAAGAACAATATATGTTGAGATCAAGCACAAAAACATTTATGGCAACAATTTGGAAATTGCTTGAAATATACACAGTCTAGTAATTTATTCTTCATGGTCTTGTTGGTAGCTGTTTTTATTGAGAGTCTTGCTTTTGACAAAAACCTTGTACATCCATATTTCTTTTGTCAAAGTTGTCAATATTCTTGCATGTAATGGGAATGGGATAACTCATGTTGAAATGCACCAAAAGTGAATACATGAAAAGTAATGAACACATTTCATCATGAATCATCAAGAAGCATGGGTTTTATTTTGGGTTGACGTCCACCATTGTCATAACGAGCCAAGTCAGCTGTACACCCTAGTTCCTCACATTGCCTATTTGCCATGGTATCCATGGTCAACTTTGATTGTTTTTTTTCTTCAGAAATTGAGATGGCAAACTATTCGTAAAAACATAGTAACCAAAATACTGAGTTAACATTTCCCTGAGAATGGTATCGGTAATTACAAATCACCTGAATTATGCTAGTGGAAGGGGAGGTAATCAGAATATGGTCACATACCAAGTAAACTGTTTTCATACAGTTTTTTGCTTGAATGAACTCAAATTCTGATTGATCCTCAGCTGCTTTTCATTTGCTGGTTTTTGTTCATGGGAAATGGTACTTTTGCCAGACTTCTTGAAAGTTTGGGTAAAGGTTTTTAAATATTGTTAAAAATGCTTCTTTGGTACAATGTTAGTGTTTTCTTTATTTTGATAGTATGTTGTGCAGATTTCACAGATATAGATTTCCAGCCATTTATATGAAATACCTCAACTTCATGCTTTAATAACAATTATTTGTCTTACGTAAAATAACTCAGGATAAGTCTTTTTGAGTTGTAGAAAGTCGTTGAGAAACACTGAAATGCAAAAACTTGTTAGCCTTTCTATTTCTTTTTTTTCTAAAGCGGGAAAGGTTTTTGTCCAGTTAATAAATCCCAGATTACACATGATACAAATCTCATGTCGAGAATTGTTTCAATTCTGAATTTGAAGAATAAACCTGAATGATTCCTTACCCCTTGTGTATTTATTATTTGCCTATGGTTAGATGGATACGGAGATGAATATTTATGATCGTAAGAACTAAAAAACTCCATTTCCAGGTATTCATTGTGTTTCTCTAATGTGCTTTCTTAGGTTTGATATGACTCTTGTAAGCTTGTTGTGAAAGTCAATTCTTGGCGATCATTCCATTGGCGGCTTCCATTTGGGACACAAAGTTGTATAAACTTGAAAATAAATGGCAATAAATCTTAAGACCTCCTTTCTAATTGAACCTTCTAGGTCCTTAGTAATTCATGTATTTGTAGATTTATTCAAAATCACACAATCCTGGAGTTGGGAGTTGACATGACGGATGACTAGGTGTTATCAGCTGCCAATAATCAGAATATTTTCACACTATTGATAAACAGCTATGTTATCTACAGGCTAGTTATTTATTACTATTCTTGATCACGTGTAATGATGGTCGTGGAAAATGGATACCCAGTATCCATCTTTATGGTTTGCTATGCAATTGGCCAAGACCTATGACCTATAGTGACAGTATTTGTTCTGTGAATATTTCTTAATCCATTTATTATTTTGTCTTTGTGAAAAAGACCGAAGACTGAAATTATTGGCATATTTTACTGATTCCTGACTGTGACATCTTGTTCCAGTTATTTAATATTTGCTTGTCCTATTGTTGGAGCCTGAGCTGATGAATTCACTGGTTTGAAACAAAGTGGAACTTTAGTAGAATTAAATTACAGAAAGATCTTATCTGCAGGATGACTGGGGCAATGGGGTAGTCTAGTTGTTGAAGCGTTTGCTCATCACGCTGAAGACCCGGGTTTGATTCCCAACATGGGTACAATGTGTGAAGCTCATTTCTGGTATCCCCATCCGTGATATTGAACGAATATTGCTAAAAGTGGTGTAAAATTGTACTCTCGCACACTCATTGGCTGATTTTCTTTTGACAAGTTGAAAATATAATTTGAAAGCATCTGTTCGTTTGTATTGATCAGTTTCGTGAAAGTAACCAGATGTAGAAACACTGAATCTAAGAAACTTTTATGAATAATTATTTTCAGATGACCTAAGTGATATCTGGAAGAAAATTAATGTTTGGATTAATGATGGTGATGCATCGCATGTGTATGACAACGTTATTGTGGGTTGGTTGTTTGTTATGTCCGGCAGGTTAAAAGTTGAAATGTAAATGAATTTATTTTGACCATGCAAGTGGCATTACCAGTTTGGCACTTGGGGTCAAGGTTTCTTGGTTTTACAACCAATATTTAGTTTCATTCTGACCGCGAAAATTAGGAATCAGAGTGGAACGTCAAAAGCTTATGTTGATCATAGAAACTCAATGAGTTTATTTAAATAATGTCGAACTTGTGACGTATGATTGGTTTTTAGCTGAGCTGTCATGCATGACTATGCCAGGTGGCTTGCAGTGGTCTTCACCTCACGAGATATGTCCGATGTAGGCTTCAGAATGAGTTTCCATATTTGAGGTTTCGATTGTCATGGTTCTGTTTAATTCATCTGACGTGGGATAATTGAAAAAACGGAAAAATAAAAATATGGGGAAATGGAAATATGTTGCGTTGTGTATGACCACACATGGCAGTAGACTAAGAGTCGTGACATGTCGACAAATAACATTTTAACGCACATCCTGCCAGGGACTACTAGGTGAAGGAGTCCCTTGTAGCTGGTGGAAACAGCTGTTAAGCTCTTGCTGGGAATAAGGTATTATAGTTGAGATGGGATGAGACTTTGCATATAATGACGATGCCATAATCAGAAGCTGTAATGAGGATGGAAGTAACATACTGGACAAAACAAATCTTGGAATTACCGAGTATGGATGAACAATTTGTGATTTAATGTGACTAAAATACAGATGTTAATCTTATGTTACACATCTTAGATATATGAAGAATTTCATTGTCAATCAATATTTTGAAGGTTGCTCATATCTCTTTCAGTTTGGAGAAAGGCTTGATTGGTAATGGTATGGCATGGAAATAGTATTTCTAGAGTTTAATATTAATCTTGTGTAATTATTCATGCCATTTTGTGTGGCAGCAACAAAATCTAGCACGTTGAAAGAGCTGGACATATAGCTTTTGGATGAAATATTGTTAGTCATGCCAATTTATTGTATATAATTATATAGGGTAATATTAAATCGGATTGGTTTGGGTATAGGAATTAATTGCTGAATGATCATTACCCCCTGAATTGTTCAATTTCACTTGACAAAATTCTATAAATAAAATTCAGTTTTTCTACGCTCTTGTTGTGTTGCCTTTTTAGCTTGTTCACAACTCAAGTCATTATCAAACCTTATAATCACCTGCAACACAAGTATGAGCTTCACTGAAGTATAGAACTGGAATACTGGTCCAAGTGGTGTTAACAACCAGCTTGTTGACCCTAGACAATGTGCTGGTTGTTCAAACAGGTTGTGAAATAATGCCTGAATATGGATGAAGAGAGTACGGGTTTACAACACTTTGAGAAATGTTCCAAATTTTTATGGAAATTAGCAGGCCCAGAAACTAATATGTTTCCAAAATAAGCAATACTGAACATGAATTAGGTGGAGGATCTGCTTGGTCAAACTGATCTTGGTGCTACGCCTGTCATATGTCTGTGTTAAAGTATGTGACTTGACATCGCTGTTGTGGTAAGATTACTTCATGAGGTCTGTCATTCAGTTAATTATACCTCAAATGTACCCAGTAGAGTTGAAACCCTTCCTAGACACATATGCAACTGTCAAGGATGCCAAAATGTATTTACAAAACACCTGGGCCCCGTTCCTCAAAGCCATCGTAGCGCTATGACAGTCGTAAGTCTATGTTAAAGTATGTGAGTTAGCGCTACAATCTTCTTAGCACTACGATCGTTTTGTGGAATGGGCCCCTGATTACATGTTCAATGATTGGGCAGGTTATTAAGTCACAGTGTTCCTGCCACATTCAGGGCGGTGGGGTAGCCTAGTTGTTAAAGTGTTCGCTTGTCACTACTTAGGCCCGGGTTCGATTTCCACATGGGTACAAAGTGTGAAGCCCATGTCTAGTGTCACTATACTCACACACTCCAGCCACATTCAGGCATGAGTACACCACATTGTACCTATGTAGGCAGCTGAAAGAACTACTCAGCCACTTGGCTGCCTGACTCTACATACTGAAAGGGTTTACAGCGACCTGAAACCCCAAACTGTCCGAGTGTGACACTGCAGATTTGTGTCTGTGATCACACTCCAGCTACATGGATTGGTGGGTGGGCTAGCCGAGTGGTTAAAGCATCCACTCGTCACACTGAAGACAAGGGTTCGATTCCCCACGTGTGAAGCCCATTTCTGGTGTCCCCTGCCATGGTATTGCTGGAATATTGCTAAAACCAGCATGAAACCCAGAGTGCAGAGGGGGTGCAGGGGTGCGCACCCCCACTTTTGTGCTCAAAGTTTGTTAAATGACCATTGAAACTTCGGGTGAAATTGAAGTGTGCAGCCCTCCTTTTCTCAATAGTGTGCACCCCCTTTCTCAAAAGCTGTAGCATGAAACCATACTCACACATCACACACGTTCTCAACCACATGCACAGTAGCTCATGTTCTGAGCCACAGGTTTACCTTGTCTGGGTATTAACAATCTGCATTGATGTAACTGGAATATTGCTAACTGCTGATCCACTCTCTATGATAAACAACAGAACAAGGACTTGAGAAATTGAATTCTTTACATGTTAATACTTGCAAACAAGCCAGATTATGTACTAAGTCATCTGTTTCTAACAGAACGTGTACCAACAATCCAGTGAATGGGGGTATATGTGAACATGTACAAAACTCTTAACGCTTCATCAACTGAAGAGAACTGCTTGTACACGTTGGCAAGAGTGAGTGAGTGAGTTGGGATTAACACCACCTGAACATTACATGTTGACATCACCTTGTTGGAAATCCTGAAGTGAAACAGGCCATATTAATGGTTTACACTCTTGTCGGTGAGTGTGTGCTGCGTTTAACCATATTCCGGTCATATCACGGCATGCTGGCTTACTGTGGGAGGAAAACCTAAAGAGATGCACTTTGGTGGACAAACCTCCTCAGATGTTAGCCACTTTGGTGCTGACAAATCACATCCACAACTCTGAAATCAGTAGAGGCTTCTGTGATAAAGCCCCTCAACTCCTGAATCATATCAGGTGGTCAGGCAAGATGTGGGTTGATTGATCCATGCATGTCGGGATCGGGTGGTCAGGCTCGCTGACCTGGTTGACCCGATGCTCATTGCGTAGATCGATGCTCATGCTGTTGATCACTGGATTGTCTGATCCAGACTCAAATATTTACAGACCGCTGCTATATAGCTGGAATATTGCTGAGTGTGGCGTAAAACTAAACTCACTCACTCACTCATATCAGGTGCTTAATGGGCAAGGCTTGGATTACACTTTATCAGGTGTTGGACACAACAGCAAACTGTGTCAGCTCCGACCATTGGGACACGTAAACACCATGACAATGACAATGTAGTGACTGGCATCATGAGAGTTGATCCATGTAGATGTGATGTGATGACATGTATCAACCAAGTGAATGAGACTTGACCATCTGATGATGAACATGAGTCTAACTGTTTCTCCTTCAGAGACTGGGTAATCAAAGCCCTCTGGATGCTTTGAATAGTAGACTCTGTCACAGCTGAAGGATGCAACTCTGGGTATATGCATACACAACAGATAATCAAAATGGAACAATTACAAAATCATGCACTGTTTTATTACTGAATCTCCACACAACTCCATGTTATCTTACGTTTCATTTTTAACATTTTTATTCAAATAATTTTATATATTTTCATTTTGATAATTCAAGAAACATAAATATGGCACATGTTATTTATACACATATATATCTTCACAGCTTCCTTAAACCCAATTGTAAAATGAAAAACTGATTTTTCGCATATTTTAAACATAGCTGTACAGTTGATCAAAATTATACCATTAAAAAAAAGTAGGGATATTGGATTTACAAGATTGATAAAATGCAACTGATGAAGCCAAGGAGGAAACAGATGATGAAGAGAAATTAAGGGAAAATGTGACAATGTATTCCATTCCTTTGGAATTGTTTCATCTGTATGGATATATATATATATCTATATCTTTTTCTCATATGCATATGCATTGGCACTGGCTAGTGGCATGCTTGCAAAATGGAATATCCCCTATTTTTTTTAATGGTATATATTCAATTATATTCAATCACTGGTTAATAGCTAAATATTAACTGATGACATAAAACATCGAGAGAACCTCTGAAATCTGTAGTGATTAAAAATAGTCATAGTCAGACATATTGTTTTCTTAGTTTTCCAGTATCACCCTCAATGAAACAAAACACCGGTGTCCCATCACGATGGGATCTTTGTGCTGTTGTCACATGGACCAAACAACTTCAAAAACTGTATTTCTCAGAGCCCTTGCTCCGGGACCAAGGATATTCTGTGTGTCTTAACACAAGCAATGAAACCAACATCAAATATAATGCTGCTTTTACTAAACGCTCAACTGTCCTCTAACTCTAAGGATTACCATGGGTTTACTTCCAGGATCAAATCGCACAATAACCATGCTTTTGGGATTCATCAGGCAATGTATATTAACCTGTAACAATGTTATAGATGAAAAGCTTATGATCAGGCTGATGTTTGTTGATCTGCAGTACTCTCATTTAATGGAAATACTTGACATCACACTGATGCCAAATTATCTATAGATAAATTGAAGCACTGGACGTCAGAAAGACGTTAATTAACTTGCAGTACTTGAAAACTGAAATACTTGAAATACTTGATGTCAGTGTGATGTTTATTAACTCGCAGTACTGTTATATAAATGATGTCAGAGTGATATTACTCCAACATTCAACAAGATGCTTCTCTTCAACAATCATCTTTGAAGCTTTCGAGGTTTGAGACTTCCCTAACAATGAAACACAATCAACTACATCAAAAATAGTTATATTTCTGTACAGCATATGCATTCATACATACAATTTGACATTTGTTTAGAAATAAACTTCATAAAGTACGAAAATAAACACTGTACATGGTGCTCTACCAATGAACCTCAAATGCTTGTATTACTGAGTCGGTGTCCTGATCTCCACACACAAATCTTGAAGCTATGACAAGTTTATGTAAGACATCATAATAGTACTAAAATATGAAATCTGGAGATCTACTTCCACGCAATCATAATCGTGTAATTCCACCTACCTGCTTGGTAGTTATGAATGAATCTCAATCTGGGAACTCCTGAGATTACTTCATGGTACCAGGCCTGACTGGTAGAAACTATTTCATCTTGACTGTTCATCTTGAAGCTCCTTCCAAGCTTCCTTATTTCAAGGGACACTGGTAACACAGGTTACACAGGTGTATGGACTGTTGTAGGCTAACAGGTGCACTGATTGTATCTAGAAGTCTGACTGTACCTATCTAAGAATGACATGAAGGTGATTCAAGCCTTTTTGAACATGGGCTTCAAACATTCTACCCATTCTGCTTTGTTGTTTTGTTGTTTACTGCTGCACTCAGCAATATTTCAACTATATGACGGTGGTCTGTAAATAATCAATCTGGACCAGGCAATCCAGTGATCAACATCATGAACATCGTTCTACGTAACTGGGATACAATGACATGTGTCAAGCAAGTCAGCGATATAACAACAGATTACTGTACTCCTGACCAATTGACATTCTGTTGATATTTTAAAAATATTCTGACCAAAATAATATCCTGTATAAAACTGTAACTTTTTTGTCTGTAATACAATATGAGAATAAAATAATATGAAAAACAATCCCATTCCCAGAATATTAAATATTCATTCCACAAACAGTGAGGGTTGCAGCAACTGTGTTACTGGTTACAGGAAAATATTGAATCATCGTCCTACCGGAGCTTTGAGTGATTTTCTTAATTATAATTATGCACAGTAATCATACCATGTATCACCATAAAACAAAAATTATTAAAATCTAAATATTTTAGATATTTAAATACTTACCTTACCATAGGTCTTATGCATATTACCTCAAGCTCCGCTTAAAGAGATCAGACAGTCGTTGATTCGCCATTCTATAGAACGGCCACCTCGTGTATCGACGAGTGTACAGGCAACGGAAGTGACGTGATCTCCCCTCCCGCGCAAGCGCGGTCCATCCAAAATCACTTTTACTGACCAGGTCCGAAGAGCCCAGAGA